GCCTTCCGCCTCTACGGCCACTGGGTACAGCGCGGCGAGCACCAGAGCCGGGCCGCCCTCTTCGAGACCCGCCCCAAGGCCCTGACCCTTGCACCCACGCCCCCCAGCCCCCCTGCCGTGGTCACCACCACGGGCCTGGGGCCACGTTAGACCCCTGCCAGGGTAATGGGCTTTCCCGTGCATCGCCCCCTGCTCCTTGGAGCAGTGGGCTCTCCCATGCCCACTTCACTAGGCCAGTGGACCCTCCTATGGGACTTCCCCACTCTGCATTAGACCAATGGACTCTCCTGGGGGTTCTTCCCCCCGCCACACTGGACTTATGGACTCTCCCATGTGTTCTCTCCCCTGGGTCAATCAATTCTCCCACATGCCCTCTCTACTCATTAGTCCAATAGGCTCTCCCATGGGTCCCCCCCCACTGGGGCCAATGGACTCTTTCCATGGGTACCTCCCCCCCTCATTGAACTAATGGACTCTCCCACGTCTTCCCCCTCCCCTGTGCCAACAGACTCTCCCATATGTCTTCTCTACTCATCAGACCAATAGGCTCTCCCATGGGTCCCCCCGCACTGGGGCAATGGACTCTCCCATGTGTCCTGTCATTAGACCAACAGACACCTGTGTCCACGCCCCCCAACTTGGGCAATGGACTCTCCTGTGGCCCCCTGCAGTAGGGGGAGGGGGGCAGCTGGAATCTCCCCCGGGGCATTGGGGCGGGGCGGCACTCTGCTGTGCTGATTGTACCTGCTCCCCTCTCCCTACTCCTCATTGGACTGATGGACTCTCCCATACTCCCTCCCCCCCGACTTTAGACCAATGGTTTTTCCTTTGGCTCCCCTCTTGGGCTAGTGGACTCTCCCATGGATCCTTCCCCGCCTTATTACACCAATGGACTCTCCTGTGGGTCCCCCCATCACTGGGCCAATGGACTCTCCCACATGTCCTCTCTACTCAAGACAGAGGGACTCTCCCATAAATCACACACACACACACACACACACACTGGGACAATGGACTCTCCCATGGATTGTCCCTACCCCTCTTTGGACCAATGGACTCTCCTGTACCCTCCCTTTAGAACAATGGACTCTCCCGTGCCCCCCACTGGGGCAGTGAGCTCTCCCGTGCCCCGCCCCCCAACCAATAGGAGGGAGTGAGGGCAGGTGGACTCTCCCATGGGGCATTGCTGGAGGGGGGAGGTTCTGCTAAGCTGCTAATAAACATGCCTCTACCCCACACTGGCCTGTGCTGCCTCCTTGTGGGTTGGAGGGGGGGCAGGAGGGGATTGGGGGGGTAGGTGGTGGGGGAGAGCAGAGAGCTGGTCCTGCGGGGGGGCAGATATGGGGTGGTGGTCGCTAGGGCTGGAGGGGGGTGTTGGAGGACAAGGTATGGGGTGGGGCCCCTGGCTTGGGGGTCAGTGTATGGGTGGGCCAGTCCATGGGATGGGGGGCAGGTCTTGGAGGGACTCTGGAGCTGGAGGAGGGGGCAGGAGATGGGCTAGGCCATGTGGCACATCTTCCTTCCCCCAGGGCATCTCTATGGTCTCTTCTTTCTTGGCTAGGTGATGAGAAGGGGGCGCAGTTCCACCCCTGGCCCCCAGGGGCACCACTGTGCAGCCCTGTAGGTCCCAGGGAAGCGGGGGGACTCTCTGGCACGTCTCTCCTAGGGCATCTCTTTGGTCCTCTGCCTTGACTGGCCCCAGCCGTGGGCGCAGTTCCACCCCTGCCACTGAGTGGTGCCGTAGCACAACCCTGTAGGTACTAGGGAGGGCACTCTGGCACTTCTTCCTTGGGGCATCTCTATGATTCTCTCTTTGGCTGGTTCAGCCAGGAGGGCCCACCCAGTAGTTCAGGGGCTAGGTATGGTGTGCAGGGGGGGTTGTAGGGGTGGGGAGCAATGGGGCCGCAAGGGGAAAAACGGGGGAGTTCTGGGGGGGGTCCGGGTAAGGTGTGAGGGGAGGTGGAGGTCCCAGGGCTGGGGGAGTGGGGCCTGGGCGTAAGGTAAAGGATGGGGGAGGTCCCAGGGACGGAAAGGGGGGCTCTGGCCTGGGGGGCTGAGTCTCAGGGGCCACCACCAGGTGCAGACACTGAGTGGGGGGCAAGTGTGTTTATTGACCCCCACCTCACTTCTTCCTGCCCCTGGGCTGGGGGCCTGGGCCCTGCTCCAGCTGGGCCAGGCGGGCGCCCAAGCGCTGCTCGCTGCCCCGCATCTGCTCCAGCAGGTCCTGCCGCGCTGCCCCCAGCGCCTGACCTAGCTCCGCCTTGATGTAGGTCCGCAGCGGGGCCCGGGGGCCTGTGGGGGCAGGATGGGGGTCAGGGATACCCTCCCACTTCCAGAAGGACACCCTGCCCCGCTCCCACAGAACCCAGGGGCCGGGCCAGGCCCCCACCCATGTCTCACTTTCAGGGGGAGCTGGGGGGCTGGTCTCCTCCTCTGGCTCCTGCTGCAACTCCGGGGTGAGGGCACCCTCCCTGGCCTGGCCTATTGGGGGACAGACAGCATGAGCAGGTGCCCCATAGCAGGACAGCCAGTATCCCAGAGTCCTTTGTGGCTAGGAGGAGGCTCCAGAACTCACCTGCCTCCGGGGTGGGCACTGGCTGAGGCAGCCCCACGTACCTCAGGGTCACATCCAGGCGCACCTGGGGGTGGAGACAGAGGTTGTGGGCAGGGCATCAGCAGGCCCCATCCATATCGGGTTCTTCCATTCTATAGCCAGGCCCCACCCCTGCTGACTCCTCCCTCTCTGCATGGCCCCGCCCATGCCAGCTGACTGCTCCCACGCCCTGTGATCAAGCACACCCCTGTTGGCCCTGCCCACACTCCAGAGCCCTGCCTCGAGTTGGCCCCCACCCCCTGTACTGGCCCCACCTGATTGGCATAGCTTCCGACTGCTGTTCCCACCCATCCTGCTGACTCCGCCCATACCCCAAAGCCCCATCCACTCCTGTTGGCTCCCTCCCCCCCCACTCTGCATTACCCCA